GTTTTAACTATAATAATATATTTTGTCTGTTCTGTTCCTGATTTGTCTTGTCTTGTCTTTTATGAGCATTGTTTATATTAATTTCCATAAAATTAATAAATTATATGAATATATTATATTAATTATATTAATTTCCATAAAAACCACACATTGCCTTTACCCCAATTGATTGCCAATAAAAGTCAGTGCCTTGGACTGTCCAGCACCTTTTTTTGGATGTCCCAGCATTGGTCATCCTGGCACCTCATTTTCTCTTAGTTCTGTCTCTTAGTGTATTCTTTTTCTCAGGCCTTTGTCATATACCAGGCAGGTAGGTACTGAAACCTGACTACAGGGGTCTCCAATGATTGGCGCCCAACATGGGGCTCAAACCATGCACAATCACCTGGTCAGTGGGGCTACTCAAAATAAAAAAATTAAAAGAAAAAGAAAGAAAAGAATCGACGACACAGTACACCTTGCATCAAGGTCAAGGATAAGCACAACCCCCCTCCCCCCCAAAAAAAGAGGTATGTGCTTCAGATGTGAGAAGGTAGTAAAGATAGTCAGCTGAGACTAAAACACAGGATAATCACTTTAGGCCCAAGCTGGCCTATAGTGTTAAAAGAAATGCTACAAAAGATAGTTAAATATAATCATCATTTTTCACAAATAAAAACTTTAAAACCTAGGGAGCGTGTCAGAAATAACACCAGCTAGCTCAACAACAACAAAAAAAGTTATCTCCCTTGAGACTTTAACTGAAACCTTGACAATTTAGAGCCTTGTGCACTCTATTTTGTGGCCCAAACAACAAAGCCTGAGAGCCACTCAAGCTTCTGCTCTGCAGCACTCAGCCGCTGATAAAAACTATCTGGTTTTGGTCTTAAAACAACTGCTTGCCATATCTGCTGTCCTTCACATGGCAGACTTACCTCTCTCAAAAAATGTGACATCATTATAGGCAAACTCCAGTGCTTCCCCTTTGGAGGAGGTTGAGCAACCTCCCACTCTGCTTGAGTTGCTAAGATCACAGGTACAAAAGAGACAGAGACAAAAACAAAACTGCTTGGCTTTATTACACCAGAGGGTGTGGACAAGACATCGTGGTTAGACTCAGAGAGGGTCGAACAGGGCTTACACTCAGATTAAAAAAAACTGAAAAAAAAAAAAATTTAAAACAGCTTAAAAAGCTCAAAAAAGCCATAAAACAAAATAATAAAAAAAACCCCACTTCTGGCTTTAAGAGCCAAGGCCAACACTATGTTATCAGCCTGATGCTACCTACAAAGGTCTAAAATCCAAAACAAAGCCAGAAAAACTACAACTGTGCTCTCTACCAAACATTAATAGATTTTACAAAAAAAATCAAGTTACAAATTTTACCTAATTAATAAATATATCTTTGTTTCAATTTGAGTTGATATTTAATTGGTGTACATAAAACATTTCTTGTCCATTACAAATTCTTAAATTATAATTATAGGGTTAACTTGGTCTTTTCTATACTTGTTAAAAAACTCAATGTTACCACTGTTCTATGGACAGCCAGTCAAATTTTAAAATATGTTAATAATCTGAAAACTATATTAGAGAGAAAGCTTTCAGTTTTTCCCTATTTAACATGTTCCTGCTGGCTTCACTCTCTGTTGGTACATGCATGACTGTCCCATTGGGTGGCTTGTATCACTGCTGCCAATCCCCAATTGGGTGGGTGCCCAAACTACATGGCAGTGACACATGTGAATTATGCCCCTGTCGTGAACATGCTAATATGATGTTGGCAATAGGTTGGTCATAAATGGCTTTTATCACATTGAGATAAAATCCTTCTATACCTATTTTCTTCGGTGTTTTTTTTTGTATCATGAAACAATGTTGGATTTTGTCAAAGGCTTTTTCTGTATCTGTTGAGATGGTCATGTGATTTTTTGCATTTGCTTCTGTTTGACAATTATATTTACTGATTTGCTTATGTTGAACTATACTTGCATCTTTGGGATGAAGCCTACTTGATCATGGTGTATAATCTTTTAGAGATTTGTCGTACTCTGTTTGCCAGTCTTGTTGAGGATTTTTGCATTTGTATTCATTGCAGAGATTGGCCAGAAGTTCTCTTCTTTGGTTGGATCTTTGTCTGGTTTTGGGATCTGGGTAATTCTAGCTTCCAAGAATAATTTTGGGAGTATTCCTTCCCTGTCAATTTCATTAAAAAGTTTGAGGAATATTGGTGTTAATTCTTCCCTGAAGTAGAATTTGTCTATGAATCCATCAGGTCCTGGATTTTCTTAGTTGATAGTTTTTTTGTTTTTGGTACCAGGGATTGAACTCAGGACCTTGTGCTTTCGAGGCAGGTGCCGAAACCACTGAGCTAAATCTCCAGCCCCCTTAGTTGATAGTTTTTTAAAATTACTGCTTCAATTTTATTGCCTGTTATTAGGTTATTCAGGATTTTTAAGTCTTCTTGGTTTAGTTTTGGTAATTCTCATTTCTTCTGAGTTCTCTAATTTCTAATTTTCTAATTTCTTAGAAATCTGAATTCTTGCTAATTTCCAGTATTTCTGTTGAGAAATGTTGCAAACAGATTTCTTCCTGCTTCTTTCTCTGCTTCCTTCTCTTTCCCCTTTCACTTCCTTTTGTACTAGGGATTGAATCCAGAAGTGTTATACCATTGAGCTATGTGCCCAGCCCCCTCCCAACCTTTTACATTTTGAGACAGGGTCTTGCAAAGTTGCCCAGGCTGGCTGTTACGGCTTGTGTCTAGATATACCCACAAAGCCTCAATCAGTCATAGGTGGAGGATCTGAAGTGTGTGATGCTGCAATTGATTCATGGTGCAGTGCGAGGATCCAGGGCAGTAGGATTAAGGGTGTAGGTGCTACCTACCCTGTAGTCTGGATGAGATAAAAAGGGCAGAAAAGTGCAGTTAAGGTCCCTTGTTTTTGGTGTCTTCTGCATGCAATGAACTGTTTCTCTGTGACATCCCTCTGCCACGTGCCACTCTGCCTTGGAGCCAGCCACCTGTGGACTGAAACCTCTACAGACTGTGAGCTAAATAAACCTTCCTCCCTTCAACTTTGGGTGTCATGTATTTTGTCTCAGCAATGAGAGGAAAGTAACTAAAACATTGGCCTTAGTCTTGAGATCCTCCTGCTTCAGCCTTTCTACTGGCTGGGATTACAGGTATGTCCCATTAGGTTAGGCTCCAAACATATTTTAATCCTTTATGTAAAACCAGTTTATTTCTGTCTTGAACTTAAAGGAACTCTTTTCTTTTTTTGTCCTCTGTTTTCTAAAGATTGCATATAATCTACTTGGTTTGATGCTCATATCCTTTAGAATCTGGAATTAAAAATATTGTTTCCTGGGCCGGGGATTTAGCTCAGTGGTTTTGCCGCCCGCTGTGCAAGCTCAGGGACCTGAGTTCGATCCCTGGTACCAAAAAAAAATATTGTTTCCTTTAGTAATTTCCTCCTTTCCAGAGAGGCAGTATGGTGTAGAAGTTGAGGACACACCATGGAAGCAGGATGCCAGGTTATGAATTCTCTCTCACAGAGCCCTATGAATTTGGGCAAATCACTTAGCTTCTCTTTGACATAGTTTCTTCATTTGGGGAAGAGATGAGGGTCTGAGAATCTAATTATTTTATTTTGTTGTTAGTCTTTTAATTTTCTGCCCTACGTTCACACCCATTTTCCAAAATTTTACTAATTACAGTGTTACTAATTGGGGCTCTAATGTAAATCAGGTTGTTTTCTCCATTACTTGCTTTGAATTCAGCTTTTTTAGTTAAATCAGTTAACTTAGCCACCTGCTTTCCAGCTTCTGGTACAGTATTTCATTGGTATCATCTCATCTTCTGTGCTCTTTCTTCTTGTGGGTTTATATCTGTACATTCTATTTGTTTTTATTTTAATTTGGGGGGCAGGCAGGGAGAGTGTGTGCTAGTCTGCTATTATATAGCTGAAATTTGTTTTTTTTTTTTTTGGTACCGGGGATGGCACTTGGGCTTGTGAGGCAGGCAGTGGAACCACTGAGCTAAATCCCCAGCCCTGTATTTTTTAATTTGTATACATTTGTTTTGTAGTATGTATTACATTTGTAGTGAGTAAAATATATTAATTAAAAAGAAATAACTCAGTTTTGTCTCTTCCAAAATTACTGTGCTTGTGATACGATTAGACAGTTTAAATTCTGTCTTTCTCATTGCTGAGACAAAATACCCAACACTCACAAGTTAAGGGAGGAAAGGTTTATTTAGCTCATAGTTTGTAGAGGTCTCCAAGGCAGAGTGGCACAACAGACAGGTATCAGAGAGGAGCAACACTTCACAGTGCTCAGAAGGTAGTAAAAGCAACAGGGGACCTTAACAGCACCTTTCTGCCCCTTTTCTCTCATCCAGACTACTTAGGGCGGGTAGCACCACACCCTTAATCCTAGTGCCTTCTATCCCAGCATTGCACCATGAATCGGTTGCGGCATCACACACTCTAGATCCAGCCACCTCTGAAAAAGCCCCACCTATGACAGCATGAGGCTTTAGGGGGACATCTAGACACAGCCATAACAAATACCCATCTTGAACTATGTGGTGGATTCCAAATGGACAGTGGTTTGTTACTAATAGTGTACTGTTTTGTGTTTCCTTTTTTTTGGTATTGGGGATCAAACTCAGGACCTTGCGCTTGTGAGGCAGGCATGGTGCCACTTAGCTAAATTCCCAGCCCTATTTTGTGTTTCTATCTAACGTTTGCAATGAATATCTTTTACTAGATTGTAAATTTAAGTCAAGGACCTTATGTTTTCCTTATGTTTTTAAAAAAAAATAAGTTACCAGAAATATCAGAAATGCTATGAATTATATTTAATTTTACTTTATTTTATTTATTTATTTTTTTGGTACCAGGGATCGAACTCAGGTCCTTGTGCTTGCGAAGCAGGCGCCAGAACCACTGAGCTAAATCCCCGGCTATGAATTACATTTTATGAGAATCATATTTTATTACGATCTTGTTTTGTAGGTTGAAGAATCCCTCCTCAGATGTAAAACAATTGATTAAAAATGAAACAGACTTGGATATTACTGCTGATCTTAGAAAGAAACTCCATTGGGCTAAGAAAGAAAAATTAGAAATGACAACTAAGCACAATGCAGAGGTAGAATTTATTTTCCTTTTAGTGTTAAAAGTGGAGTTTGAATTTCTATATTTATTTCATATTACAAACACCATATTTAACCTTTATCACTTTACCATTCTTGTGCTTGAAATTGTAAGAAGAAAACATTTAAAATATAGTGAAATTTTATGGGAATGTTAAAGTAAATCTTTAATGAATGATATTTCTTTGTAGGTTACTTAGATTTATTTTAATTATTGAGTTTGACTTGACCAAAAATACTGATTGATAAACATTTTTTTTCCTTAAATTCTTTTATTGGTACATTTTAGGTATGCAGTACGTTCACATTTATCATTGGGTGCTTGTACTGTACATGATGTATCTTGGTTTTTATTTTTTTCCCCATTACCTGTGTGCCCTTCACCCCCTCCACCCTTCCCTATTTACATAAACTTCATGTCCATTTTTTTTTCTTTTCTCATAATTTTTCCTTTCCCTTCTTACTTTTCCCCTTCCCCTCCCACCACCCCTACCCCTTTGGACCTTTTCCTGTTTCAAAGTATCAATTATTCGTTATTAACCCTTTTAATCCTTACTTACACTTTCAGTTTCTCACACTAGAGAAACTATTCAGTATTTATACATATGTGTCCTATTTATTTCACTTAAGAGTATGACCTGAATATGCATCCATTTAGCTATAAATGACTAGTTTCTGATTCTTTATGGCTGAGTAGTACTCCATTTTATTAAAAAAACCTACATCTTCTTTATCCAGTTTCCAGTTGATGGACACTTGGGCTGTTTCCAAGCTTTAGCTATTACAAACTGTGCCACTATAAATATGGGTACACATATATCACTGTGGTATGATTCTTTTAATTCTTTGGGGAAGATACCCAGCAGGGGAATAGCTGGTTAAAATGGGACCTCTAGCCCTAGTTCTTTGATGTATCTCCATACTGATTTCCACAGTGGTTGCACCAGTCTGCACTCCCACCAACGATGGAGAAGGGTTCCTTTCTCCCTACACCCCCACCAGCATTTATTATTGGTTGATTTATTGATAGCTGCCATTCTTTCTAGGGTGAGGTGGAATTTCAGTGTTGTTTTCATCTGCATCTCTCGAATGATCAGTGATGTTGAACATTTTTTTCATACGTTTATTTGCTGCCTTTACTTCTTTGTCTGAGAAATGTCTGTTCATTTCAGATGCCCATTTTTGAATTAGGTCTTTGAATTTGGGGGGTCTGATTTTTTTCAGTTCTTTTTCTTTCTTTCTTTTTTTTTGGTACTGGGGATGGAACTCAGGTCCTTGTGCTTGTGCAGCAGGCATCGAAACCACTGAGCTAAATCCCTGCCCCTTCAGTTCTTTATATATTCTAGATAGTAGTCCTTTGTCTGA